ACACGTGAGAGAAGATTTATTAGGAGACTTGGCTCACACACCCGTGGAGGCTGAGAAGTTTCATGACACGCCGTCTGCAAGCTGGAGCAGCAGGGAAGCTGGTAGCGTGGCTCAGTTCAAGTCAGAAGGCCTCAAGCACCAGGGAAGCTGATGGGAAACTTTCTATCTGAGGCCACAGGCCCGAGACCTTTGGGGGCTGCTAGTGTAAGTCCTGGAGTCCGCAGACCAGAGAACCTGGAGTTCTGACGTCTAAGAGCAGAAGAGGAAAAGCGTCCCAGCTCCAGAAGAGAAAGAGAATTCACCTTCCCTCTGCCCTTTTGCTCTACCTGGGATGTCTGAGGATGGGATGGTGCCCACCCACATTGGGTGAAGGAGGATTTTCCTTACTCAGTCCGCTGATTTAAATGCTGCTCTCAAAACCATCTATATTAAAATAATGTAAAGCTGTGAGGTATAAATAGTAATCAAAGTCTGATTTTTATAAAAAGCATAGATATAAATAATAGCCAGAAGTTAACCAGCCATTGTTCTCTAACATCCTTGTGGCTATAACTACTTACTCCTTAATTCACTATCCTCCTTGATAGGCACAAGTTTTGTGACTTTTCCCACTACTTCTACAGATAACATTGCCATACGAAAGCCCCAGACTTGTGATAACATTACTACTGTAAAGCCTAAGGCTGGTCTTTGAAGTATATTTCAGACTCTGTATCCCAAGGAGACCCACTAATGCCAACTGGACCCGAGGATAGGTATAGAGAACAGAGCCAACAGCCTTGAGACCCTCCTACCCAAAAAATTTCCTAACTGAGCAGAAAAATCTCTGTTTTACAACCCTATGGATTCATCTCCCCACCCCCCAATCAGCAGACCCAATTCCCTAGCCCTTTGTCCACCAAACTATCTTTAAAAATCTTTTCTCCCAAATTCTCAGGGAGAAGGACTTGAGAAATTCGTGCCATCTCCTAGCGTGGCTGGATATTAAACTCTTTCTCTGCTGTGACCCCTGCTGTCTCAGTGTATTGGCTTCCTCTTGAGCAGCGGGCTATGAAGCCTGGCAGGGCTGTAACAATCTGTTTCCTACATACCCTCATAGACATACGCAGATATGATGCTATACCAGCTCTCTGGGCATCTAGTCAGGTTGACACCTAAAATTAACCCTCATAGCCCCTCACCCTCACCCTCTGCTCTCGTCTTTGCTGTGTACTGATTCAGATGTGGACTACAGTGCCCTTTCTCTCTTGAGAAAAATCACGTGGATGAGGTTTTTAGGTTACGTGTAGCAGATTTTGTTAAAGACTTGGGAAAACACTCAAACCTCCAGGTATTGTGGGGGAAAAATGATTTGGGGAGGTAGTGATTAAATCATAGCAAGGCAAACAACTTAAAATACATATGGCTCCAGTCGCCTGTCAGGGCTCTCTGGATACCCCACCCACACCTTGGCTCCCTCCCTTCTCTGCTTTACCTCACTCTCAAATTCCTCTTATTTCTTATTCAGAGCAGTTCTGTGTTTTCAGAGATGATACCCCCAGGGTCTTATCTTCCTTCTGAAATGGACCTTTCAAAGTACAGTCTTAAAGCAATGACTGCAACACAGTCAGTTGTTAAAATAGCTTTTTCATCTGGTGTCTGAAAAGCTGACACTGGAAGTTCTCATTCCCAACCTCCCTCAACGTGGATCAAGTACCAAAATACTAAAGGACCTCCTGCAGTTTTTTGCAATTTCATCTTATTCTTAATTCCCTAAGCATCCCCTTTTAAGGATTGAACATCATCTTAAAAATTCTACCATGATATTCTTATATGTGTAAATAGATGGTGGTGTAAACTCTTTGTATTAAGAAGCAATTAGTGTGTTTGGGTAGATTTATCAATAATAGACTTTTATTTCCAAAATATTATCTATTCTATTGTCAAAAATTTTCTGCTTATATTATTTAAATTATTCCATATCCAGAGAACTAGAAAGCAACATCTCAGTGTCATATTGGAAAATGCCAGAGGTATCAAAATATAAATTAAAGATGATCAAATTTGAACATCCCTCAGTAGGTAAGGACTGTTTGGGTACCTTCAGCAACATCATTAATACTTATTAGTAAATCCAAAGACCTCAGTTTAATAGTAGCTCAAGATAACTCCTTTTTGTTGCAGTAAAAAGTACATTTTAAGAAATGTCCCGGTGGAACATTTATGTCCACATTGAGCTATCAGTTCTCAGAGAATTCATTTCCTTTATTTCAGCCAAAATTCCTTTAAACGTTTGTTGCGTGCCAAACATACTGGTAAGTTATACATGAATTAAATAATTTAGTCCTTCCCTCTACTCCATGAGGTAGCTATTTTTTATTTCCATTTCACATATGAGAATACTGAGGTCTAAGGAGGTTAAATAATTCATCCAAGAGCACAGATGATGGCACACCGAGGTGTATCAAATACAGCCCTAGCAAGACAAAGCTGTCACACTTAAACAGGGTAATTGAGGAGAGTTTAATGAGGGAAGTATTTGTCAAGATGTGGGCAGGAATAAGTAGCACCCAGGACTAGCGCCAGTGGGAGCCAGGCCTCCCAGGACAAGGGGAGGAGCAGTTACTGGAACCAGAGAGGTCTACAGCTGTGGGAGAGGAGATAGCCTACAGAATACGTCCTCTTAGGTGGAAGAAAGCAGACACTGACAAATTATGGTCCAAAAGGAACTGACAGAATAAATTCCTTGAGCAATTTCTTATCACACCTATTTTAAATCATGTGCTGGGATGGGGTCTTACTGTGCTGCCCAGGCTGGTCTTGCACTCCTGGCCTCAAGTGATGCTCGTGCCTTGGCCTTCCACGATCCTGGGATTATGTCTGAGGCACCAGAGCCAGCAGTCACCACACATTCTGATCTCCTACTCATGGCCCATGGACCATGCTCAACCCAAAGGCAGAGGAGGAAGAAGCCTGGCTAATACAATCCATAAAGGTGAGCCTCCCTAAGCAAAGGGCAGGACAAAGAAGGTTGGAGAGTGTGTCTGGAGGAGAAACAGAAACATTTGGCACTCTGGGGTATCACCTGTGAATATGGTACCTTACATGGCCAGAGGGACTCTGCAGATGAGATTAAGGTTAAGGACCTTGAGATGGAGAGAGTATAAAGGATTATCCCGGTGAATCCAGCACCTACTTACTGAAAGGACAGTCAGTCTTGCTAGTGAAATAACAGAAAAATGAGCTCTCTGCTCTCTCCCCCTAGTTGACAGGCACCCTGTAGGGTTCTGTTTTCACATCTGAAAAGAGCTCAACAGACAGAAAGGAAATGTAAATCTTTCTCTTTATATCCATCAGCTCACTACCTTTTAGAATTTGTTTTATACCCTCAAGGAATTCCTGAGAAGTTCCTGGGAGGACAGTGCAGGGTGCAAACTCCAGGCCTCAGTTTTCTGTCCAAAATCATATCTCAGGGCCGAGATAACATCCCCAGTGATAAACCTGACTATATTTCTGAGATAAGCAAGACTCCAGAAGCAGAAAAAACAGGAAGGACACACAACCTGATGTTTTGTAGCTGTCTCCTGCTAATTACTCCACAGCCGCTTCTGTTATCAACTGACAACAATCACTATTTCTTTTTCCTTTCTCTTTGTCCCCATAAAAACAGAAGTCACCTGGCCTCAGTGCACACACCTCCCTTCTCTTTTCTGTGCAATGCCATCCTTCTTTTTCTGTCTCATCACTCAACTACCCTCTCTTTCTCTTTATTTCCCTTTTCTCTCCCCCACTCTTTCACTCTTTCTTTCTCTCTCTCTCCCCTTCTAAAAAGATAAAATAAATTTTATACTTTTATATCCTGATCTCTGTGTGGAAATTATCTCCACCTGCATGGTGACCACCACTAAGTTTTCCACCCTAATACTTACATGAGTCCTGAAAAGCACAGAGCCATTTTCAGCTGCAGAAAGCCAGAGACATGGCAGCTTGAAAGGCACCCAAACCCTGTTGCAGGCTTTGAAAATGGAGAAAGGGGACCATGAGCTAAGGAATACAGGCAGCCTCTAGAAGCTGGAAAAAGCAAGGAAACAAATTCTACCTGAGAGCCGCCAGAAAGGAATACAGCCCTGCCAACACCTTAATTGACACCTATGCCAGACCTCTGACCTACAGAACTATAAGATAATTAATTTGCATCCTTTTAATCTGCTGAGGTTGTGGTAGTTTATTATTGCAGCAATAGAAAACTAATACAAAGTTGTTCATCTTTTTGTTTCAGGGTAAGTGAGCATCTCAGTCAGTATATAAATTTCTAGATATATGATGACTGACATCAAAGTGTTCAACAGGTTCCAAACATGAAACTATAAGCATTGGATCTATTCAAGTTCTATGGTAGAAGCTGTATTCAATTGCATACAAGTGTTGCTTATGAGTAGATTTGTGCTTCACACTGTTGTTTTCTTAACATCTCTACCTCACCACTAGAAAATGTTTTGTTTTGGATAGCAGTAAAAAAAGTAAGGGGAGAGTAGCCCTCAAAGAGGGTCCCAGAACTAGCAAACTAACTTCTGGCCATGTGTAAGTAGAAGAACCAAAAGTTTTTGAAAATCATCATATCAACCATAGAACATGCAGTATATGGTTCATCATTTCTGCACAAGTCATTGCTCTGGTTGCACACAAAAATGTCTGTGGGATTCCTGATCAACCCGTATTCACCATGGAGGTTATAAAATGCTCACGTTCTTCAAATACCAGATGACTCTGCTTTAGGTAGCCATTTAGGTAGCCATATAGGAAGTGTAAATTAGTGAGTTGTTTCAAGCTCAAGCCACCTGTGCCTGAGGACACAAATGATTAAAATGAGAGGGGTTTGGGGAAGACCCAAGTTTTAGAGGTTTTTACCTTAGTTCTCTTCTTCGGTGTGTATATGTGAATGCACGCCCGAGAGCCACAAGTGTGTTGAGAGGTAATAATCACAAGAAGGACCCTTCTATGCTTTGGCAACTGCAGAACCTTCAAAGCACAACCCACCCCACAGAAGAAAGCTCATTTCCAGATCCTTCTTTCTGTTTCGCAAGTGGCACCACATGAGGGAGGATGAAAATCGGCCTTTGTGTTAAGCTTCCTTTGTCATTTCTGCTTCAGACGTGATTTCTGAGTTTGAAGTCCCTGGATTTTAGATAAAAAGAATTTTAGAGTTAGTTAAGGGGAGGTCACTATGTGAGAATGCCTGTTTCCAATCTCACAGGGTGCCCACATGCTGAGTGGCTGATGAGACAAAGGCCAGAGAAAGAAAACAGGAAAATCAGCGGCACTGGGATGGGGGATTTGAATTTTATTGTGCTTGACATCTATTTATTTTTTATTTGTAGTCAGTTTCCCGGGGGAGAAAGGGGAAATGTGTGCCCTTACCCCAAACTTGTAACACCCCTATCAGGGCAGATTGCAGGAGTATCCTACAGACGAAAAGAGAAGCAAAACCTATAAGCTGCTGATTTTCTCTGCACATGATGTTGTATTTATATTTCATTTCATTACCCCTTCAAAAACTTTTGGTAACAAGCATCCTTTTCCCAACTGTGGCAGGTAGACTGGAGACCAGCCCCTCTAAGCTTGTTGGGACTCAGAAAACAATACCGCAAAATAAAGTCCTCAAAAGCAGCCTCTTGTTTTTTCTCTGACCTCCTCAGGCCCTCCTGTCTCTCAGTCCCATCCTCCTCCAAGGCCAGCCATAGAAACTAGAGTCTCTCTTCCCCAAGGCCAGTCATGGAAATCAGAACCCCCTTTTCCCTAAAGCCAATCATAACACCTAAAAATATTCTGTTTAAAAACTGGCCATACAGAGATGATCTGACCTACCTTGTTATAAGACCCCCATTCCAGAGAGGGCCCTGCCCCACGCCCAGAAAGAAGGGCCACATGCTCAGAGAGGCCAAGGAGCATCTAGACAGACAGGCTATTACCCAAAGCTTGGTACTTGTCCCTGAGGCTAAATCAGTGAGAAGGAAGAATGAGGACAAGTGCTGTAAGGAAAAGGAAAGAGGAATTTTATTAATTTGGGGGCAAATGAGGAGCGTGGCAGACTAGAGTCTCAAAGACCACCATGTTGCCTTTAAGCAGAAAAACAAGGCTTTTTAAAAGGGTGGTTTTCAGTGGTTTGGTTTGGGTCTATGTGACCTTTGTTACATGTTCTGGCTTCAGGCTATTGTGGCTTAACCATGATAGGTGATTTCAGCCTTGGGTTATCTTGACCTTATCTCCAGTGACAACAGTCCTGTGACCCTTGCCCAGACAATTCTATTGAGCCATCTCCTGTGTTTAAGATAATAGAGAACAAACAGCAAAGAACATTTTTCTGTCCCTTTGATCAGTGGCCTTGGGAAGGAACACAGTTTTAATTCCAAAAAGGGGTGGGGAGGTGAAAAAAAACAGCTCAAAAAACATTTCATTGCCCTTTTTCAAGCCTTTACCTCTGTCACAAGGCCTTGCCAGGTTTCCCCACTCGGTCTGTTAACATTAGATCATACCTTTTCTGTCCCATCATATTTCTACATGGCTGTCCATATTTTGTTGACCCTAAACAGAAAGATGGAGAATTTTTCCTGCATCTTTAGGTCTTCATTCTGAAGGTTCCTGTGTAAACACATTAAATAAATTTGTGTGCCTTTTCTCTAATTATTCTTTCTTTTGCAAGTTGATTTTTCAGCACAGCGGGCCAAGGGCCTTGGCTTATGCCAAGTATTTTTGTTATCTCTCCTAAAAATGGCTTTTATTATCTCCAAAAAATGTATTTACACCAGTCCACGCCTGTTGATGATTTTCTCACACTTTTGTCAAGTATGCTTTTTGATTCAACTCAATGTCTAATATCACAAAAACCTGACACTTTAAAACTTCAGTTTCTACCAAAGGTATAATTCTTCTTTAAAAAAAATTCTGCCTAGTGTCACCCCACCCTCCCCAGTATATCAGTTAGCATGTTCTCAGCAACAAACATCAGAATATCCAAAAAAAAGTAGTTTAAAGAATAGGAGGAGTTATTGCCTTTCAAACCAGGAAATCTACAGGTGACTTCAGGTGGGTTGAGAGGCTCAGCCAAGCCTCCGGGCTCATCCATCCTTCTGCCCTACTATCCTTTACACACTTGCTTTGCAAAAGCTGTAGGCATCACACTAGGAAGTCCTACCTCTGCATGTCTTCCTTTTCTCAGGAGGATAAGAAACTGTTTCCCAGATGGTCCTAACAGAGAGGTCTTCTTTTAAATCTTTTATGAAAAATCAGTCCCTAAACCTACCCCAGGGAAAGAAACTGAGATGACCTGGTTTGTTTTATATTGATCTTGATTGACCTGCTAGGCTTGGGCACAATTTTCTTGAGTATCTCATTCCCAACAGCAAAGCAATAAAATCAAAATTCTACTAACGAGAAGAGAATGGCCCTTGTGTAGACAATTAACACTGTCTTCCACATAGCTGAGAGAGCTTTATTCGTATGCGTTAGAAACACCTAGCGTTGATTCCAGGTGTAAGACATTCTGATTCCAGGTAGTGTCCAAGAGTCTGCATTTTAACAAGCACCCAGATGTCTTGAATCTAGTTATGCACCAGCCACGGTTTGAGACAGTGTTCTAGGGGAATGAAAATAGGCATTCCTCATGGGGAAAAAAAATTCTTCTATTAATCAATTAATAAATATTCATTCTTAGTAACTGGTTATTACTGATCCACATATAAAGCTATTGCCAAGAAATAACCATTTTTAAGCAAAACTAAACAGGGTCATTAGAATAATGTCCAAATGCACAAGTAAATGCACAACTTCTTACCAAGCTGAATCAATAGCCTAGTGTTCTGGAGTCCCAATTCAGGATTCAGACTTTCTAAGTTCAAATCTAATTTCCCTTCTATATTAGCCATGTGACCCTAACAAGTCATTTAATCTCCCTAACTGCCAATTTAATCTGTTAAAACAAAGATAAGAATAATAATATGTATATCAAAGGTAGGTAAAAGATAATGACATGATGCATATAAGGTGCTTAGCACATTGCTTAACCCAGACTATTTAATAAATAATAACTATGAAATGTGCACATGAAGCCATTACAATTTTTTTTACCCCTCAAACATTTTTCTTTTGCCACTAGATCTTTACATGATTGTCTTCTGCTCAAAGGACTCTGCTTACAATGTCAGTTCCATGGAGAGTATGCCACATATCACTATTTGAAATTATATTATTTGCTTACTTGTTTCTTTTCTGTTTTCCTCACTGATTATCAGCTCCACAAGGCAGGGTTCTGTCTTGTTCATTCCTATTGCTTATGGCTCAGGTCCTGGAACACTTGTTTAAGTGTGTTTTTCAAAAGTTTTTAAACAAGACACTTGTCCATGTAGATATAATCTATACTACTACATGCAACTAAATTATTTTAAAAAGTCAAAACATGGTTGCTTTTATCAAAATAGCTTGATATAGGAAGTTAATGTGAACAGTCTAAGCGAATTGATAATGACTTTAAGAAACACCAAGAGCCAGTGCCCAAGTAAATCTTCCCATTGACAACTTGTTAATTCTGAAAATTACATATGACTTTGAAAAATTGAAGTTACCCAATTTCTTGGCCCTAGTTGCTGTTAGCTATGATTGTGACTGGAATCCCCAATATAAGGCATGCCTATGGAATAATTATTAATAGAATTGGGCTTTAGGTATTTTAATGTGTATTCCTTCTGCAAGTAGTTCAGCATCATGTTGAAACTTTTATGTTCTAAACTGGTGCTATCTGATAAAACTTTCTGTGTTGATAGAAACATTCTACATCTGCACTGTTTATTATGTACTATGTGTGGCTATTGGGCATTGGAAATAGTATGACTAAAAAACTGAATTTTAAATTTGATTTTAATTTTAGTATCCACAGAACCGTATTGAATGGTGATGTCCTAGGCAGTTTTTCAGCAAATGTGCAAAATGTATGGCAACATCAGAGCTTTAAATTTGAAAATGGATTTTCTCATCATCTCTTATTTCCTGTGACTCCAATTCCCCCTTTTCACTTTTATCCTACAGTCGGTGAACTGCTTAGCTACGGGCTCCAAACCTTTACCGCCCCAAGAGTGATGCCAAAACGTTTCATAGTAAAGGCAGTAAATAACATATATATTAGAGATAGTCACTGCCTTGGAAATTAATTCTGAGATGCAACAGAACACAAAAGGAGGCAGGAATAAATGGCAAGAAGTTGCCTTGATATGTTCCCCTGTGAGTTCAGTCAGCAAATTTATTGAGCACCATGCCAAGTGCTAGGGGCAAATGGATGGGAATGTGTACAGATGGGTAAACTAATGACCACAATGCGAAGTGATAAACAGGTAAGTACAGGGCACTGTAGAAATCCATAGGAGGACAGATACCTCAGTCTTTGGAGGCAGGGGAGGAGTGGGTGTCATGAAAACAATAAGTGACATCCACGCAGAAACCTCACAGTGTGATGTCAGCCAGATTGGGTGGAGGAGATAGTAGAGAAAGAGGGAGAAGAGGGCTGGGGACAAACGGAAAGTGTAAGACTAGAATATACAACCCCAAAACTTGCCACTTGGGCACAGGGATTATTTTGAGCTGAAGGCAATTGCGAAGAAGCAGATAGAAGAAATGTTCTCTGTTCTCCCTGTTTGCCTAAAAGCAGGACATAAACTTACAAAGGCAAAGGTATCCCTCCTCCCTTCTTTACCAGGAAGAACACAGATTTATCAGCAAAGACAACTTTAGACCCTTATCAGCCTGGAGATAGCACCAGAGGAATATATATAACAAAATCCCACTTTTTTGCCTTCCTACAATTTATCACCCCTAGAGACTCAAAGTCCTTTTCCTTTGTCTTATCACTTCTCTAAAATTTATTTTTCTTTGTTAAAATGCTATATGCTTTGGTTTGTATGTGCCCCTCAAAGTTGTGTTGGAAACTTAATCCTGAATCCAGCACTGTTGAGAGTTGGGACCTTTAAAAGGTGATTGGGGCCGGGCGCGGTGGCTCACGCTTGTAATCCTAGCACTCTGGGAGGCCGAGGCGGGCGGATTGCTCAAGGTCAGGAGTTCAAAACCAGCCTGAGCGAGACCCCGTCTCTACTATAAAAATAGAAAGAAATTAATTGGCCAACTAATATATA